AAACCAACAAATTTTGCTAAATATCCTTTTAGGTAGTTGTATTAAAATCTTCAAATTTCTAAATGACTCAGTTTACTTTCAACTTCATTTCAGTCTTTATTGTTGTGTTGTGTTAACCAGTGGGAAAAATGGCAAAATTAATTGAGTCGTGGGTAAAATCTTATTCAGATTTTGTTGTAGAAGGTGATAACCAGGTGTTTTGTAAAACATGTTCTAAAATTGTAAGTACTTTTTTATTTTATATTTTATTTTGACCTTTCACAATGATAAATCAAACAACAGTAAACTATTATTTCAACTCAGAGTTAAAAAAAAGTAGGGCAACTTTACAACGTATGCATTTATTTAATTTAATTAAAACTTCAATATCTACAGGAATTTATTTGTTTTAGATTCCTTGTAAAAAAAAGTTTCAAATCGACCAACACGCGAAAACACCCTCACATATAGCAAAGCAGAAATCTAAAGACACTCGCAGACAAAGTAAACTTCCCTTGAAACAATATTTAGAATCTGGGTCGTCTAGAAGTGAACAAGCTATTTTTAATGAAGATTTATGCAAAGCTTTAGTGACTTCGAATATCCCTTTAATACGATTAAATAATCCAAATCTTCGATCATTTTTGCAAAAATACTGTAAATTTAATATTCCAGAGCAAAGTATATTACGCAAACGTGGTGTTGACAGTTTGTACATTGAGACTCGTGAAAAAATTCGTGAGATTACCGTTGGAAACCATTTCTACATTATTGTGGATGAAATAACAGACTCTTGTGGTCGATATATAGCCCATTTAATGATAGGTACATTACGCGAAGAAATGCAAATTGGTCCATATCTAATCGCTTTAAAGCAATTAGATAAAACAAATAACTTGACAATAACTCATACAGAATTGTCTTCCTTTTTTCTTCCGGAAGCCGTTCCAACAGAAAAATGTTTATTGCTGTTATCCGATGCTGCCCCGTACATGGTAAAAGCCGCACAAAATTTAAAAATGTTCTATGAAAACTTAATGTTACATATTTGGCTCATGGCCTTAACAGAGTTGCAGAAGAAATTAGGTCTAACTTTCCTTTAATAAATGATTTAATTAGTAATGTAAAAAAATATTTCTTATAGCTCCTCTAAGAACTCAATTGTACAAAGAAAAATTTCCTGAATTACAGATGCCACCGGAACCTGTGATTACTCGGTGGGGTAACTGGCTTAAAGCTGCCTTTTTTACGCAGTTAATTATGAAAAAATTAAAGAAATCATATTTGATTTTGATGATTCATCTAAGGGAATATCTAATATAAAGAAGTTGTTTCAAAATCACATATTACCAAAGCAATTAGTGTTTTTAAAAAATCATGCATTTGTACCCAAAATTATATTAGATTTAGAACAAAAAAATTTACCTTTGGTGACTTCCGTAAATTTAATTAAGACGTTTGAATCAGAGTGTAAAAATGTCCAGGACGATATTGGAAAGACGATTTTTCATAAATTTTCAAATCTAATTTTAAAAAATGAAGGATTTATTGTTTTAAGAAACCTTGCTAATATTTATTCTGGTAATTTGAAGATATTAATACTATTCATCCAGATATTTCAGGAAAATTTAAGTTTACACCTATTACTTCTGTAGATGTCGAAAGGAGTTTTTCTTTCTACAAGTACATACTTACTGATAGGAGACAATCATTTAATACAGATAATTTAGAGAAACATCTAATTAAAACAATTGTTCATTCGTCTTATAATAATGTTGATTTGTAAATAAACTAAGTTAATAATTAAATAATTATTAAATATTATATTAGGTATTGTAAAATAAAACAAATAATAAATATTAATAAACTATTTCGATCAAATAACAAATTACTCCTATTGCATATGCTCTGCATATTTTTAAATTTTTTACGCATATATTGAAGTATTTTGCGGCATATATATGCCCATATTTAACTACTTTTTGGGTGCATATATTCCTAGGTCTATTTATTACTTACCTACTTACTACTTATTACTTTAAACCAATCCAATTCCACTGGATCAAAAGAAGAACATTTTACCTTTGGCCGTAGGTTCATAGATATTATTAAAAGGTTGTACATTTATGTTTTATCCTTATCAGATATATAATTATCTATTCTTTGAGCGAATACAACAAAACGTTTAGGAAAACTCGGAAAACTTTTCACGGCCAAATATTAACGATCTGTCAAAAACTGGAATACATTTGTGACCAGCTTAACCTAATATTTTATCTTTTATGAACTTTTATGGATAGCTATAAGTGAAAACTCTTTTGTAACATCGACTTTGACCTGTTTTCCCCAAGAGAAAATCTATAGTCGAACGTTTTGAATTATAGGAATAATAAATCACTGGGAAAGAGGAAATACGTTCAAATTTATTGTTATTTTGGGGTGTTGTTTGTTATAATTTTTGATTTCCAATTGGTTTGTAGAAACAGCGCTGTAGGGAAAAATAAAAAAAAATGTGTTATTATTGACCTAGATATATAAAAGTATCATCAAACCATAAAAATACTTATTATAATTGTATTATCCAACACTTACATGCACAATATGCTTTAATATCTACACAAGGTTGGCTCATAAAATTTGCGAGTTTAATAAATGGTTAGGACATAACAAAAATATTGGTAGTAAAGTAAGAGGGGTTGATCTCGGTCTAATAGTTACCGCTAAATAGATGTGGTTAGTACTGTTATTACCCAAAGTTTGTAAATTAAAACGGTGGTCTCATCAATTTAAAATTGGAACATGCTTGGTGCACGCTGTAGTGTTGCTGGTTGCAAATACAATTTTTACCAACAAAAATCATCAGAAGTAAGTATATTATTTTTTTTCTTTCCCAGAAAGCAACCATCTACAAAAGATATGAGTCCAATGTTTTATAAAGTATCAGATCAATGTTAAAACTGTGAAAATATGCAGTGTTCATTTCATTATACTAATAAAACTGGGTTGTTTCATTCGGTATTTTTAAGTACATTATACAATTCATAGTAAAATAACTAGGTACTGACAGAATATATTTTTTATTTCAAATAAAAATATACATTAAATTTAATGTTTCTTCTGAAGTCCAACGAACCCTTCTTTTCTACATTAAAATTATTTTTGAGAAAGGGAAAATGATAGGAGACCGTGGGAGATCGACCTTTACTCATTTGATAACCAGATGAGATATGTTTTACAAAATTTTAGTGATTTATTAACACGCCAATAGGAACTTGCCATTCGAGAAGTGTTCATAGCTATTTTTAGATATTTTTTGTTTGTAAAAATTGTTTTAACAGCAACATTACAGCTAGGCTCCAAGCACGGTAAAATATCAAATAATTATTTCAGAATATAAACAAAATATAATCCGAGTTCGGCAAAATTTTTAAAATAAACTATTCACATGATAATACACATCTTTATAATTCAAGTAAAAGGTAATTTATTTGAAATTTTATGTAAATCGTTCCATAATTTTTCCTTGCTGTTTTGTAGCTTATCTTTCAAAAAAACAAACTATACCGATATAAAAACTCTAATACTGTAAAATAGTCTAAAAATAAAAATATAAATGTCATTAAACAAAAATAAAATATTAGATTTTTTAAAAAACTAATGTAGAATGCTTTTTGTCACTCGTCTTTGTAATTCTGTTACGTCATATATCTTTTCATATTTCCTTTCCTTGTAAACTGGAAGAGACATCCGTAGTAGTTTACGCACCGTGGTTGAAATAATAGTTGAAACCTTAAAAAAAAGGTTAATCACCTGTTATTCAACATGGTTATTGCCCATTAATGAAGAATAAAGAGGAGATGTCACGATGCTAAAGTGACCGCACCTTTGCATTACACTTTTATGTCATATGTCAATTTCGGCATAGTGCAGGAGTGCGTTTAGAAACCTCGCACGGTGCGTCTCACCACATACATTAGAATAGGGTCCAGACGCGCCGTGCGTGGTTTTTAAACGCACTCCAGCTAGTCAGTTTTAGTGAGACTAAATGCCATTTTTTGTAAATAGCTTCATTTAAATGATATAAAATCATTTTCACTCCACCAGTCTTTAAATATAAAAATATTGACTTTAAATAAATCAAATTACGACTCAAGCCGCCATTTTCATCACACCTTCCCGTCACTTGAAGTGCGTCCAACTGTAATATCGCACAATAGTGTTTTTCTACACCAGTATTATAATAATGCACTTATATGCCCATAATCCGTTTCATAATGATACCCATTATGATACAGATTTTTCATTATGATACAGATTTTTAATCAATAGAAACCTACAATTTTTCAATCAAACATGATGTTTGACGTTTGTCCTAAATTCCTATGTAATTGTTTTAGTTGTCAAAACGTATTAAATTTTCGTAGATAGCTAAACTTCGATAATTATAATATTAAAATGTCTGATATCAGCGATATAGAAGACTCCTCCACACATATCGGAGAAAGGAGAAAATGCAGTACAAAATATTTTGCCCCAAAAATCTGTGGTAATACCAATACCCAAGGTAATACCATTAATTACAATTTTGTAGAATTTTTTATAGAAATACGAGTAATTACTGTTATTGTGTTCAATGCCAATATAAATAGAATATTTATAGGTCTTGATTATTTATCGGGTGTAGAAAAAATAGCGTATGCAACTCTCATGTAATGGTTATTAAAACACTCGCATAAACCATACGAAACTCGCCTTTGGCTCGTTTCGTATCCCGGTTAATGCTCGTGTATTAATAACCATCATTACATGATCGTTGCATAATATACTATTTTATGTCGTCTCCATTTTATTTTATCTCGATGTTATTTCTTAATTTGCGCTTGCGCTAACTTGAGAATTTGACGTAGATTGACAATAGGAACGAACGTGAAACGAACTATCATAACTCAAAAAACTAAAAATTGGAGTTAAGCCATCAGATGCATCAAAAATATGCCTGTGCCTATAAATCTTATGTCTAAATGGTGGAATGTCACACGTTTTGCTCAATTCTAATAACGTGAATGTACAATGTTGTATATTATATTTAAGTCATTTTTGACATTCTACAATCGGATATATAAAAAAAACATGATGAAGACATGTTTACTTTAACAAGAATCTATAACATGGTAAGAATAGAAGACAACGATTCTCCCCAAGAAGATTCATCGGGTTCCCAGATGAATATAGAATTTAACCCAATAATCGAACTCTGGCCTGAACTAACTCTAGAAGAGAAAGTAGACAAAGCTTGGAGGAAAATATCCCACGAAGTTCCCAAGAAAAGAAACCCGCTTAAAGCCACCACACACGATTTCAAACTGGTCTGTCTTTTTATAAGTGTCATGATAGCCATATTCAAAATTTTTTTAGGACTGACCAATATTGATAACTGCCCAACCAATGACTGGTTGCCTGTTTATCAATACGTCGGTGGTCTATTCGAGCTTGGATTTTTATTAACATTATTGTTTAGGAAATTACGTATCATAACTTTCTTCCAGGTGCCTTTGGGACTTTGTATGATGGTCTGGTTCGTAATAGCAGCTGCAAATACCTTCATAGAATGGCAACCAGATTACTTTAAACGTGGAACCAGATATTGCAATTATTATTTCTTTAATTCTTCTGTAGCTATTTTATTTTTGCAACTGGTGTTTAATCTGTTGCTAATGTTTTATGTGTCTATTAAATTTTCGTTTTATGATTAAAATATTGTATGTATTTTTTTAATTCCTAAAATTTGGGACCACTGAACTCCCCACCAGTAGAACGCTACAAAATACTGCCGACCTCATAAAAATTGCACAGCTTTGCCATGTTTAGAGGCAATACAATGCATTCTGTGTGGCTAAGTATTTGGAGAAAATTCATCAAAACTTGTACATATACAGGGTGAGGCACCGAAAACGAAACAGATCGCATATCTTGAAGGCACATATCCTCAACTATCCTACATCCCTTCTCACCCCTTTGTCACTATTACTAATGAAATTAAAATAGGGAAACTACTAAGTGTGACACATCATTGAAAAGGTAATTTTATAAGGAATTTGACTGTATGACATGTGTCAGTTCAAATAAGAATATTGTCATGTGAAAGCCAACTTTAAAAATTTAATACATAATTGCCTTTGGAATAAAATTGAACTTACTACGCCTATGTTTTCGTAAAATAAATAAAGGTTTTTATTTCCAGAACTACCAAGTCTGTTTTTTAGTTTTTTAGCGTCTATTTCTTGTGCTCTACAAATGAACCCAGCATTGAGAAATTCATTTTTTCCATTTGATAGTCACACTAAGAGCGCCTGTGCGTCATTTTAGCGATGTTGCCAATTGTTTTTTGTTATTTGTTCTAAATAAATATATTCTATAGTAAATTCCAAATATTATCCATATCTCAAAGTGGTCCGAAGTAGATTAAAGGGAAGTAAAAGGCTCAAAGTCTGTCGACCACATAAATTTATTAGGTTGGGTTGCAAGCGCTTTCGACCTAAAAGGTCATCATCAGGCAAAAATTTTTGAAAGTGAGTAGGTAGGTAGGTACAATCACTATGTGTCCACAGAAAAAATTAAATGTTGAATTAAAATTTTAAATTGTAAAAATAAAAAATTATACAAATTGGCACGTACTGCCTCCCTCATTCGAGGTTGGATATTGTTTAATCTTGAACCTCGCCTGCCTCCATCTAATGAAGGTGGTTATAAAAGATAATCTCAAATTTGAAGTTCCACATGTGTGCTTAAGGCACCATGTGAAAAATGTAACTTTTCGAAAATTAGGGGGAGCAACGGTAATTTTCGAAAAGTTACATTTTTCACATGGTGCCTTAAGCACACATGTGGAACTTCAAATTTGAGATTATCTTTTATAACCACCTTCATTAGATGGAGACAGGCGAGGTTCAAGATTAAACAATATCCAACCTCGAATGAGGGAGGCAGTACGTGCCAATTTGTATAATTTTTTATTTTTACAATTTAAAATTTTAATTCAACATTTAATTTTTTCTGTGGACACATAGTGATTGTACCTACCTACCTACTCACTTTCAAAAATTTTTGCCTGATGATGACCTTTTAGGTCGAAAGCGCTTGCAACCCAACCTAATAAATTTATGTGGTCGACAGACTTTGAGCCTTTTACTTCCCTTTAATTATATTCTATAGTAATACCGTTCTATATTATTTTTTTGTTCATGAATAATATGACAATTGATATTTTAAATTTCTATAAATGTGGAGTTGTTAAACATAGTAAAAGAACGTACATAACAGGAATGACAGTGGCTGTTTTTTCAATAGCTCCAGGCCAGATGATAAAACCAGAATATAAATCTGTTTATTTGAGACTTTTCATTTCAATTATTCAATTGGAGCTATGTCCAGGCCGTTGGAGTCTATGCAGGTCGGCGTAGCCAGGTATGAAATAATGTTTTTTGGTGGCGACGATAAGTTGTTGCTTCGTTTTCTTGTTGCATATTTATGGACTGGTATGCACAATCGCAAGAAATTATGTGAAAAAGTTTACGTTTCAATTCAATTTGAGCTGTGTCCAGGCCGTTGGAGTCTATGCCGGTCGGCGTAGCCAGGTATGGGTTGATGTTTTTTGGTGGCAGTGAAGCCGCCACCCTACGACTTATCGTAGGGTGGCGGCGAAGTCGTTACTTTGTTTTCTTGTTGCATATTTATGGACCGGTATGGGCAATCACAGTTTTCCATTAACTACTAATTTTATTACAATCCGGCAACGTTGCAATTATATTTTCCAAAGTTGACAGAACACATAACAATTTAACAAGCACGAACGAACTAAACAGCTGTCATTATCACTTCACCTTATTTCACTAGATGGCGCCACAGAATCAAGTTCATTTGTAGAGCACAAGAAATAGATGCTAGTTTTTAGTTTAGCATCATTGATACTTCAAGTCTATTAGCAAGTAAAACATAAAAATGGTTTATTCTATTAAGGAGAGAGTAGAAATTGTTGAATGTTATTTAAAAAATAACGAATGTGCTAACACTGCCTGTACAATTTTCAATGAGCAACACCCAAACAAACAGGTTAAACGTAAGTACGTTTTGGAACTTATTTCAAAATTTCGACAAATAGAATCTGTTCAAAATAAAAAACGGCAGATTTAAAATCCAGTAAGAAACGAAGCCGTAGAGGTAGCCGTTTTAGGACAAGTTGTTGTAGATCCAACTCTTAGTACAAGAAAGCTTGCAGAATTATCTGGAGTAAGTGACTGTACCGTCAGGAGAATTTTGAAAGCCAAAAAAATCCATCCCTATAAAATTCATTTAGTTCAGGAACTTAACGAAGACGATTTTGATTGCAGCTTGCAATTTTGTAAAATCATGAGCGAGCATGCTATACAAGATCCACATTTTCATTATAACATTTGTTTTTTAGATGAATGCAGTTTTTATGTTAACGGGACTGTCAATCGACATAATTGTCGATACTGGTCAGATTCCAATCCAAGAGTATTTCATGAAACGCATACTCAACATCCAGAAAAGTTAAACGTTTGGGCTGGAATATTTGGCGATCGTATTGACTGTTGGTCCATTATTTTTACCAGGTACTTTAACTGGTAATATGTATTTGGAATTACTCGAAAACACCGTTGATCCACTCTTAACAGACATAATAGAAAACGATAACCGATACCTTGAAGATCACCTAATATTTCAACAGGACGGGGCTCTTCCACATTTTGCTGCAGCGGTTCGTCAGTACTTAAATGAAAACTTTCCTAGACATTGGATTGAACGAAGATGATTTATTGGATGGCCCCCACGATCTCCTGATCTGTCCCCCTTAGATAACTTTTTATGGGGATATCTGAAAAGTAAAATATACGCCACTCAGCCAGGTTCCTTAGAAGAGTTACGTGAACGTATTATTACCGAATGTCGTCAAATAACTCCAGAAATACTCCAAAACGTCAGACAAAGAATTGAGAATAATTTATATTCGTGTGTGGAAGTTAATAGACAACACTTTGAGCATTTACTTTGAAGTAATTTAGTTTTTAATTATGAGAGTTGTCCTAAATTTTTTAATTTAATTTTTATGTTCAGTTTTCTATTATTTTTTTAATTTTTATTATGAATTGTCTATTGAATAAGTTTTACTTTTAAATTAAGTATTATTATTTAAAATACGAAAATTTTTCCCGCAAGATGGCGCCAAAATCAAAATTTACTTAATAAACTGTCACACATTCAACTTCCTTATAAAATTACCTTTTCAATGATGTCTCACACTCAGTACTACTTTGATTATTTCATTTTCACTGGTAATAGTGACAGAGGGATGGGGAGGGATGTAGGATAGTTGAGGATATGATCGAAACATGTCCCCTTTGAAATAAAAATCGACCTCTTTTTACATTTTCTCCAAAAAAAATGTGTCTTCAAGATATGCGATATTTCGTTTTCGGTGGCTCACCCTGTATACGTTAATGGTTGCCTGTATCAATTACCTATCAGGACTTGATCGCCTCGCTCGCCCCGTGTTGATGGTTATGATATTTTCTAATTTTAAACTTATTTATTTTAAAATTAATTTTAACGAAGGTGTAGTGGAGATATTTTGTGATTTGACTAAAGAGTTTGAATGTGTCAAACCAAAGTTTCATATAGCGGTCATATTACTGTGGATATACATGAAAGACAATCCTTTTCAAGACACCTACAATGAGTCTTTAGAGATACCTTCTCATGTTTGTTCATACATTGTATTTTATGTATTAGTATTTGTAAAATTGTCTTAAATTATCATCGTAATGTTTCTTTAAATAAACGTTATTAAATAAACTCTTTTTCATTGGGTTTTACCAACAAAGAATCTAAAAGTTACATGCTCCTCTGAAATTAAATATTAATTTATAAATATTGTTTATACATGATAATATCTCAAATAGCACTAGTATTCAGTAATTTTGTGTTGGTGACTTTCTTTGTCAAAGGGGTGGTGACTTAAGAACTTTATTGTTCTTTACTACTTGTGATATAGAAGTATGAAATGTAGAGGTAAGGAGAACTATCTCTGTTTACAAAAAAGGTCTTAGAGCATATAATAGTAGAGGTGTTACTCAAATGGGTTTGTTACGTACTGAGGGGGTAACCCCTTCGGTGTTAGGTACACGACGACGCATTATGATTGGCGAATTAGGAACACGACGATTTATGATTGGTGAATTTAAATAACGCGCGTATTTGTGATAAATGACATTTCATTTGACGTCTTGTTTTCGTTTTTAAAACTATCATTTTTTGTGGCTTCCAAAGACAATTTGGACGAGGTTTTCCTTTGATAAACTTTTTAATTGTAATTTTATTATAAAATAAGTTCTAATTATGCCAAAAGCTTGTATAGTTTGCAATAAAACATACTTAAAAGGATCCTGGTTGACGTTTCACAAGTAAGTATTCTATATTCCATAAACTTAACTTAAAATGGGAAGTGGGCAAATAAATAAGAAAACATGTTTGTAGAATTTTCTTCATTTGAGCATGACCGCAACTGGTTGCGTTCAACAGAAAATAGTCGTTTTCTTTGCGATAATGCTTAATTTATGTCTTTTTGTATATAATGTAAAATGGATTAGATATATTTTTGTATTGTATATATTTTTTCAACTGTCATTAATATTTTAAAGCTTTTTTACTTTTTTCAGATTTCCCGCTGATCTCA